ATCAATATTGGTATTTTTGTACTAATGGGTATGAAGTCTACAGATCGAAAATTGATATGCGACGGCAATTCGAAATCCAAGATGGTGGCTTCCGAATTCAGTGGGAAATATTATCAAATACCCATCAATATAGGTATTTTTAAAATTGTGATGACGTCTAGAGGCCGGAAATCGATATCCGAAGGCATTTTGAAATCCAATTGACGGCTTCCTATTTCAGAAAAAAAAAAATGGGAGATGCTGATGTCGTCCCATCAATATGGGTATTTTTGGAATCGGGGTGACGTCTGGAGATTGGAAATCATATCCGACGTCATTTTGAAAGCCATGATGGCGGGAAAAAGTTGTAAATTCTATCACATACCCATACTAACGTTTTTTTTTTTTAGAATCCGGGTAACGTCTAGAAGCTGGAAATCGATATACGACGCCATTTTGTAATCCAAGACGGCGTCTTCCGATTTGCTTCCGAAAATTGATGTCACGCCGTCTCTAAACCCAAGATGGCGGTTTTGGTTCAGAAAAAAAAACTGTGAAATACTGTCAAATACTGATCAATGTGGGTTTTTTGGAATCGGGCTGACATCTAGAAGACAGAAATCGATGTGCGAGGCCATCTTGAAATTCAAGATGATAGCTTCCAATTTAAGAAGAAGTGTCAAATATTCTACAAATGGCATCGATTTTCAGCATCTACGCGTGGTCCCCGTTCCGAAAATACCCAGATCTTAGGGTATTTGAAACCTTTTGTGAAATCCGATGGCCGCCATATTGGAGTCAAACATAGCATCGGATATCGATTTTCGGAAGCCACGCGTTGTCTCCGTTCTTAAAATACCAATATCTTAGGGTATTTGACACGATTTAGGAAACTTGATGGCTGCCATTTTGGATTCCAAAATAACGTCGAATATCGATTTTCCATACCTTCGTGTCGTCCTCGTTCCGAAAATATTTTGGGGTGGCCAGAATGGCCTCGTTAATTTATTTTTTTTTAATATAAAATAATTTATTTATTACTGCATATAATCTGGATGCCTTCTCTATCGGAAACCTATATTGTGCGGATACTATCCGGATACTACTACTGCGTCGTAGGGTCGTGACAAGTCGAATGAGCTCCGAATTGAAGTGACAGTGGAAAAAACGAAGGAAGAAGTTTTCGAGTCATTCATCGCGTCAATTGAAACAAGTCTTTGCTTCAAATGAAATGAACTGAAGCACTCGACGAACGAAACAAGTGATAGTCCAGTCATGTTTGAAAAGAGGAATGTTCATCGTGACTTGACAACAAGAAACACGATGACTTACACGAAAATTATATTGCTCGAAATGAAGCGATTTTGCGGAGAGTTCATTTTCTTTTCTTTGTTTCGAAAATACAGAACCTTGATTGTAAGAACCAAATAGCACTCCTTTACCAGATTATTTTTATTAGTCTTCTTCTTCTTATTCTTCTTCTTCTTCTTCTTCTTCTTCTTCTTCTTTTCTTCTTCTTCGTCTTGTTATTTTTCTTCTTCGTATTCTGCATCTCCTTCTTCTTCTTCGAATTTCAAGCTTATTCCTTATTGCTAGATACACTTTTACAGTTATTTATTGAGAGCTTTCGATGCCTGTACAATTTTTGCATTAGTATAATTGTGTGGCAAGCAAGTACACTCATACTCTATGCCAAGGGAAGTCGAGAAATTTGCTTACTCGAAAAAATCGTCGATCGGCCCGGGAATCGAATCAAGCCACCTCCAGCTTGGTCTTGCTTTGTAGCTGCATCTTTACCAACTGAGCTAATGAAGGCCCTAATATAAAAGTCGAATATGTGAAAATTCTTTAAATTCCAAACTAAAAATTATTTGCTACTTCTACAAAGTGTTTGAAGTTTGTAGGGGAAATGGCTCTAATGTTGGCCTATGGATCTAAGATTGGGCCCATCGCCAAAAATCTGCTATTTTTCAATTTTATCTAGATGACCGCGTCATTGAGACGGTACTAATGGACATTTTTGGTCGCTATTGAAAATTTAGTCGATTGCTGAATTTATGTATGGGCCCAAATTAGGGGCACCTAGGCCGACATTACATCCATTTCACCTACCCCCTTTCATCTGAAGCCTATAAAGCTGAGGTCAGAATCATCAGGCTGACATCCAAAGTAGCCAATACTTGAACCATCATCTAGTGGTGTGTACTTAACTCCGTCCCCAGCGACAGCTATCAATCGCTTCTGTTCTATTCGAATGCAGCCAGAGGTTGGAAACCAGTTGACCTCATTTGACTCGTTTGTTCTAGCGTTTTGCTCTGCACTGTAAGGTACGTACTTGGCTTTGATTTCGCTTGCTCACGCTGGAAGGTGCCAAGCGAGCATTCTAGAGAGCGATAGGAACCAGTACCGATGGTAGTGGTAGAGGTAATGGATGATCGGCGATCCGGCCAAAGGTAATCAGTAATGCGGAGATAATAAGCTACCGGTAAGTTGCCCCTCTTGGCTATAGGCAAACAAGCGGCATTCGAGGTTCGTTCTTGAGGAATTAGTGAAATTATTGCTATGTGTGTGGCACAGATTGTTCAGTCTGCTAGCGTTTGGTTAGTTTGTAAGCTGTGGGTGTAGATTGAAATCGATACTTTGATGGTTGTGCAATGCTATATTAAAACATATATAATGTTTTTGTCCTACTGACTACACAGTTCGGAAAAAAATGTGTAAATTTCTCTTCAATATGATGCTCATAAATTGAGTGCACATATCATATAGGATTACATTATAAATCGTGAGAAAAGCCAATCTTTGTTTAACAATATTGCTTACAAGCTGCTCGTTTGGGTGAAATGACAGTGAATCAATGTTTACAACACAATTAAATTCAGATTTTTTGCTGTGTACTTCCGGAAGATTTTCAAATTAGATTGACACACGCCACGGAATGACAAACAAAACCCGTTCCGAGTGCAGTTTGTGACGTCTCACCATGAGTTACCATGTTACGGCAAATGAAAGTGAATGATCGTTCGAAGAATAGTAATATAACCTCTCGTCTACTTCAGCGTTCCGAGATCCCTGATCGTGTAGATAATGCAGCTTGTAGAGTTTCAAGAAGTTATTGGGGGGGAAAATTCTCCGCAATATCAGGGACACTGCACACACGAACTGATAACGTTCAGCAAGCATAGGCAGATAGAATGACATATGCGACAGATGAAAATGGAGAGAAGATTTCTACGATGGCATCCGTTGCTTTCATTTATTTCCTTGTTTGATTCTAGCAATTTCAATTTGCCTTGTAAGCAAGTGCAACCGGTGATTTATTTACTTCCTGTGCATACCAGTTGCATTGACTGTCGGATTTGTTTGCAAATAGTGTGTCGGCATCCTTGTTGTAAAGCTTGTTTGGTATAGGAGAGGTGGCAGCGGTGGAAGACCACGCCTGCAAAACGTATGGAATGCAAATCAATTGGATTTCCACTGGGTTTTATGTTCTGTCTATGAAACAACAGTCAAAGAACAACAGGTAATCAAGGGAAAAAGAGATCTAATCTATATCGCTTGTCCACTTGATTGCAGTGTGTCATGTATTTTTTTTTATGTTCACATGCGAATTGGCTTAATCCAGGTTTGTTATGTGATTCATAACAGGCTGATGAGTTTGCAAATGTAATTTTTCCGTTGCCGCAAATTAACTATATCCAAACCGTCTGTTCGGTTGCCAATGCTGGAACTTGTTTATGGTTCGAAATTCCTCACGGAGGGAGAGCATCTCTGTTGAAGCACAAGTAGGTGCAAGCAATTAAGCACGAGGTAAATATTTTCCTCTAACGCGGAACGAACATCCTCAGAAACTGCAGATAAGTCACGCTCCAACCACGGCGGCGGGTACCTAGGTGCACGTGTTAGAGTGTGTGTGTGTGGATTGTTTGAACCCCCTATCAGCAGACCGATAGTTGTAGATTTGTTCAATGACCATGAATAGCCCGCCACTGGTTCCGACTGAGGGTAAGGTTGCTGCCACAGGCACAGCAAATGTTATTTATTTCCCATTTCATAGCTTAATAACGCAAAGCACATCTCAATGCAGCGTAAAATCGGCGCTGAACCTGCAGTGCAGATGCTAATCGATTAACGTTTGCTGCCGGTACGGTTCAATCGTAACTCCGCCCTCCTCGTATGGCGTTGACATGTATGGTCCCGGAGTCATACGGTCACGCTTTATTAGGGCTTTAATATATTCATTCACAAACTGATTCGATATTAGAATTTCCCGCACTCGGATCGATCTCCGATCAACGGTTGGAGTCAACGATCTTACACTGCGGTGTGTACTTCAGGGTAGACAAGTGGGCTCCTTGAGATGACACCATAGACGTAGATGAACGTGTAAAGTGATGCCGCTTGTCGGAACATCGAAAGTATCACCGTCGGATAAATCTATGCCATCTGTAGAGTGAATGAGTGAGTGTAATGTTGTCGTACTTGACGGGTTACATCAGTCGAATGCGTGCATGCATGTGCGCTAGGGTGGGTCAAGTTTGTATGGTTTCCCATTGAAGATTTAAAATTCTCCCACAAGTCCAGAGCAGAACCAAATTCGATCAAATTTGACTCCGTTGATGGGAGCAATCGAGAACAGGGGGCTGTAAAGTTGACCCACCCTAATGTACACGCAGTCAGATATGGTGCTCGATGATTACGAATAAGTACCTTCGGCCTAGGTTTCTAGCAGTTAGAATTGAACGATCAAGCTTCGCGATGGCGTCATAGTGGCGCTATAGTTGAACCGTTTGCTTCGTCCATCTGTTTAACGTGTTCTGTTCTTGCACGTTAGAACCTTCCAACAATTGCATCCGAAAAAAATGTAACTCAAAGCAAATCGCAATTAGTAACAACCAAATGGCGATAATTGGAGTTTTTGCTTGGATCTTCAACTTGACCTTGCTTCGAATCAAAACTTTCATTCGACTGAATTCCGCACTACTTTTTCTATATGATTTTTTTCTTTTGTTTATTTACAGAAAGCAAAGAAATTCTGCATGGCCTGAATGGATCGTTCAATGCCGGAGAATTGACAGTGATCATGGGCCCCTCGGGGGCAGGAAAAAGCACATTGCTCAACATTCTAGCCGGTTACGTGTAAGTATCGACCACCTGATTCCAACTCATTCCCCATGTCGACTTGATTCGTTGGCTAAAGATAGTTAACCGGCTGCTGAAGTATTATTGATTTGATAAAAAAAATCCAATGAATTGTCGCCGCTGGTGACGTAAACGATCGGGCCAAAACATCGGGCATGATTTGATTTTTGAGACTGCCCAATTTGCATTTTGTGCGGTTTTGGCAGAGATTTTTTTGATTGGTTCTTTATGGTCAAACAATAAACTGGTTTTGCGAGTTGATTTGTACATTGTTATAATATCGATCTATCAATGTTTCACGAGTAAGAGAATGTCATAACTTGGGGGTAGCTTGAAACAATTTTCATCTTCGAAAGTTTGTAATAACATGTGTATTAGGGTGCCAATGAATTTTGGGTTTGAAACGGACCATATACAAAATGCCTATTGACTCGAAAAAAGAACCTGAGCAAAATTGGGGCTCATAATTTAGAAGTCAAATTTTAAACCTTTTTTTATTTGAAAATTATCAACAATATCGTGGTTCTCATAATGTTCGTAAAAACTTGTAGTTTTGTTCCTTATCTTAAAAAATTACACCCATATATTTATATTTTGTTATTATGGTGTCCATTTTCATGATAGGGTGATCCAAAAAATCGATTTTTTTCAAAAAATCATAGCTTTTGAACCACTGAGCTGATTTCAAAGATCAAAATATCAAATGAAAGTTAATTAAAACATATCATGATAATCAAAAACTTAAATTTTGTTTTGAAAAACATCGATTGTAATTGATTTTTATGAGGTTCATGGTTTCTAGAGGGCGCAACATATGTTTTATATATTTTTCCTTGAAAATTTAGGCTTTTCTACACATCATATTAAAAAATCAGAGATGTGTGTTTTGTTTGTTTTTGAGTTATATTTTTTGAAGTTATCAAGTTTTGGGTATTCGCTCAATACCTCTATGCGAATTGACTTATGACTTAGATTGTTAGCTTAGATGACGATGTTAGCTATCTATCAATCAAAGTCATTAAAAAGATCACACACACAAGGGACAGCCCTATGGGGTTATACGCAATGGTGACGTTGGACTACGTGGTCTTATATAATAAATGTTATTTGTTAACTGCAACAGGAGCTTGTGTTTTGCGTAGCAATAGGAATTTGTGCGGGGTTCTCTTTGTTTATACTATTTAGTATGACTATGATTGCCCTGAAAAGAACCTTTTGATATGAATTTTAGTTGGGACGTGTTCAGAAATTTAACTCTTTTGGAAAATCTTGGTGGCCCTGAAAAGGGTCGATGGTAGTACAGGTTTAAGGCCTTTAGAAGACAGGGCTGTTACAACAGGCACGGATTTCGCGGATAAAAACTTTCAGTTGCGAAAATCGCGGAAACATTAAATGATGTCGCGAAAATCGCGAAGGGACTGATGTGCTGTCACAAAAATTGTGGAATTCATTGTTACCTTTCCGTCCCGGATTATTTTGCTGTCATAAATGTTGTTGTTCATTTGGCTCTTAATTTGTTTACCGTTTCAAACCAAACACCCTGCAAATAATCGAGAAATGATCTCAATTCCATGAGTCACATCGGATTTACCCGGAAATTCCCTGAGGTCTGTCCAATGTGAAAATGTATTTTTTTTTTTCCAATGTGAACATAGCATTTTTCGATGTTAAATCATAAACGAACCGTATATATGCGAGTAATTGACATGTATATCAGATATTCTAGGTTTTGTTCTACTATATCAACCAAGACTGCAATAATGTCTGTAGTATCGAAATCTGTCCAAACAGATTCAAAGTGTCCATGTGGATTGTACCCGACCTATTGCTACGTATACAAGATGTTATAGGTTCTGAAATCATTCTGGAGATTAATTCAATATCTGCAGTATCGAAATATGCCCAAACAAATTTGCAGTGTCTATGTGGGTCATGCCAACCTATTTCCGTGTATGCCAAATGTTCTAGGATTGCCAAATCGATATTTTGATACTACAGATATCATCCTAGTCTTTGTTGATCTAGTTAAACAAATCATCTGAACTGCAGGACGATTTGGAGAACCTAGATCATCTGGTATACGTGAAAATAATTAAACATTATCCATATAGACACTAGGAATCTGTTTGGACATATTTCGATCCTACAGACTTTATCCCAGTCATGGTTGAACTAGTAGATTAAATCATATGAACTCCAGAACGATTTGGAGAACTTAAAACGTCTGGTATACATGACAATAGTTCTGTATGATCCACATAGATACTGTGCATCTGTCTGGAAATATTTCGATACTAAATACATTGCCCCAGTCTCGGTTGATCTTGTAGATGAAATTATCTAAACTCCAGGACGATTTGAAGAACCTTGTGGCAGGTGCCATATTATAAAAATCAAAATGTAAAAAGTTGTACATTTATTGAAATTTTTCAAACACCATCGAATTACCAAAAAGTTCACTCACCGAAATGTTCATCAGATGGTAAATGAGTTCTCTCTACCATTTCGGGCGCCAAAGCGTAATTCGATAGCCAAACGAAGAGTCTAAGCAAACCACGCGTAAACGCACGGACATCGACCTGCACAATTCTGCTTTCAGGATTTGTTGACCCGTCCCATCCTTTCATGCACTTCGGGTGGGAAGCGAATTGGCATATGCGTTAACTTGATAGAAGGAGAATGCCTTCCTTCGTATTTTTTTTACAAAAAATTAGTATGCGTGAAGGCGATTTTTTGAACTTCGTGAAAATCAACTTCGTTGATTTCACGTAATTTCCGGCGACGAAGATTGCAATTCTTGCGCCTAATCTGAGGACCTTCAGACTTGATTCTTTCACTTCGTTCTGGTTTGTGGAAGAGGCGAGAGCGGTCCGAGTTTCAGTTATCGCGCCGTGGTGTGAATTTAAAAGTGAATTAGTAAACGTGAAATTGTCTTTAATTTTGTTAATTTAGATTTTCTTTATAAATTCCCTCGATTAGTTCGTTACTTTTCGAAATTAGAGCAGAAAGTGCTTAGTGCGTTAGTTCGGCGGTTAGGAGTGTGCGAAGGTGTATTGAAACCGAGGTAATTTTGTGTGCATAACTTTGTTCAGTGTGCAGATGTTGAATGCCACGCGACGGCATTTCTCTTTGGCAGATTTGTGGCAAGTTGCGAAGCTCGTCACACCACCCACATCAGTCAGCGACCGTTTTCGACCCCATTTTCCAGCTTCGAAGAACACCCGGTGGTACCAGAGGCTGGAAAAGTGCAGCAAAAAGGTTTCCGCGCCCTAGGCACAGTGAGCAGCAACCCACTGGTTCCGAACCGGTGACCTCCCTCTCCAGCGGCAACCACTTTCCGCAGTTTCCCGTCGTCGGGGACAACCATCGATGCGACGGCCGTACCCCGTCTAGGTAGAAGACCACAACTCAGCGTGTGAAGCGTAGTTGGAAAACGACATCGGCTATGTGCAGTCCGCAGTAGCATAGTTTCGGAGTCCGTAGGAGTATCACGTGTGGTACACGTGGGTCCAACCGGCATCATCGATCTACTGAAATCTTACCTTTCAAATCGCAAGCAGTGTTGTTATGCTAATATGACATTGAGTGATCATTTAGTGTTTAAAACTGGTATGCCTCAGGGATCGATCCTTGGATCTAAAGTTCAATATTTTTATAAATGATTTATTTAATCTGCCTCTGAAAGGTACATTACAATGCTACGCGAATGATGCTGTTTGTAAATATGTTCGGTCTGGGAAGGCACTTTCCCTTTCGGCAGTGGACTGTATCGGCAATGATTGGTGGAGGAGGCAAGCGTCGATCTAAATCGAACTCTTTGAGCTCTGAAAAGAGCTGGGGGTGGGTTTCAACACTTGCTCCGAACCAGGGATGTGTGCTGGGTAATTATTCAAACGGCGAACGGCTACGCTAGTAACTACTTTATTTCTCTCCTCTTTCTCTCTACAAAGGTTTGCTTTCTTCTGCTGCTGATGCTTGCTCGTGGCCGGTCAAAAGGAAACTGAATTCAGTTTGCATTTGCATTTTTTTTTTGCATTTAAATGATCTTTATTTCTTGTGATTATGTGGTTTACATGTATGAATTTGTTAAGTGACACAGATTCGTCTTTTCAACTTTGGTACATTTGAGATTTTAATTATTATTTGCAGTTCCTAGTCCTATCAGGTCTATTTTAAAGTATGACCACCTTGGTGGGATTGGTTTGTTTTAAATTTGAAAAAGGAGACTACTTATAACTACTATTTACAACTACAACTAACCTACAACTACTATATACACCTAACCTACTATATACAAATTGCTTATCAAAGCATGTTCTGATAAATTACATTTTTGTGTAAATTTAGTCTTAATTTCGTTAATTTTGGAATCTATTTTGGCAATGCCTGCCTCTTCATGTAAATTTGTTATTCTAGTGTCGAAAGGACGATCAAGAACCATCCTTAGCACTCTATTCTGAGCGACCTGAATTTTGTTCCTGTGAGTCTGTGCACATGATTCCCACACCGGAGCTGCGTAGAGGATCGCAGGTGCTACGATTTGTTTGTAGACGGCCAGTTTGTTCACCCTTGAGAGGCGGGATCTGCGGCAAATCAGCGGATACAGACTCCTAACCAAGGCGGAACACTTGACTTCGGTTTTCTCCACATGCGAGCGGAATAGGAGCTTTTCGTCAAACAACATCCCGAGATAGGTTACTTCGGCGGACCACTCAACCCTTGTGCCATCCATGATTACAGTACAAGAGGGAGCCGGTTTTAGTTTGGGTGATTGCCGATGGAGGAACATGATTGTTTGTGTTTTGGAAGCATTGATTTTGATTTTCCACGTGGTGGCATAATCAGCAAAGGCGTTAAGGCATCGTTGAAGTTTGTTCGTTATTTCGCGAGGCATCCTTCCTTTGACGGCTATTGCGGTATCATCTGCGAACAGGAAAAACACGCAACCGTCTCCAAGGGGAGGAATGTCGGAAGTGTAAATGCTGTAAAGCAAGGGG